AGGAAAAGAGAAACAGATTGAGAGACAAAGGTTAAGGGGGTGGAGGAAGGGGGTGTACATTTACATATATTGTATTCATTGCTTCTTTAATGTGTACATTTTATTTTTTGAATTTGTTTGTAAGAATGATTTGCGGGGGGCGGGGAAGTGATAGAGAGAGTGAAAGAGAGAATAAGGGGTAGAAGGGGGGAGGAAATAGGAGAGAGAGGTAGGTAAAAATGAAAGAAATGGAGATAGACAGAGAGAGAGAGAGAGAGAGAGAGAGAGAGAGAGAGAGAGAGAGAGAGAGAGAGAAAGAGAGAGAGAGCATGTTATGTTACCATATAAATATATAATTTCAGATAGTTGTACGTGTAGTAAAAGCCTTTCTCTTGACTTTTTTAGCATGGCATGTTATCTCTCCACTCCCGTTCCACCAATCCCTTTTCAGGTGCCATTGGTCATAGTTTGTCTTTTTTTCTGTTTCGTTTTATATCGGTTTAAATGTCTTTGTTTTCAGACAATTAGACCAATTAACCTCGCAATAACATTACTCACAGTTTTGTTCGAAACCGTTTCTTCCGTCATCCTCTCTATTTTTGTTTCGTTCTTTCTCCTGTTCTTCTTTTTCTCGGATCATTGTTTCGCTGTTGGTAAGGATAACAAACCCATTTGACTACCCGAAATGATGAACTGCGGGTAATCTTTTTCAAATAAAAGTGTGCCGTACCTTATTTAAATCTAATACTGATATCTTTCAGGGAGTGTCATGGACGAGACGTCTCAGCAGTACAAAGTAATCGATGTGGCTCCCCTGGTGCAATCCCGATACGCCATTTTGTCTGGTAAGTTGAAATTTAAAATTTTTTGTTATCGATTATTATATTCAAAATTGCCAACTTTTGCATTTCGGGCTGTAGTGTTTGTGTTACAGTAATGTCTTTTTGTTGTTGTGCGAAGACGTGCTTCAGATAATGTTGTTATTGTTGTTGTTGTTGATGTCGTTGTTGATGTTGCTGTTGCTGTTGTTGTTGTTGTTGTTGTTGCTACTGTTATTATTTTTGTTTTTGTTGACGTTGTTGTTGTTGTTCTTGTACGTGTACTTGTTCTTGTTGGTATCGTTTTTGCCGTTCGTTGTTGTCGAGCACAAATCCTTACCCTCAGTTATCTCTGTCAGTCGGTTTTAATATTTTCCTGCTCTACTTGCAAGGAAACAGCAAACAAACGAGAACCCCC